TTACAGTGGACATATGTGACATGTTTCGTAGCAAAGATGTGTTGGATTTGACGATATACGACAGAGTGGTATACTAGGCATGTGCGAGAACCATTCGCAGAATGGAGAAAACGTACATCATGGACTCTTCTGCACCATATGCCCTCCGTAACATCCGCCCACAGCTACCAGTGAGCCTTCCAGGTATCTCCAGGGGTTGTTTTAAGATATATGCGCGACAGATGCAGAAGACAGCGTGAAATCGACCGAAGGCGGGTGGAACATCCGACATACGAGCGGCCAACTTAAAACCGGCACCGTGCCCTGCGCGTCATGATCCTGAGCCGGAATATGCAAGAATGAGGTGGTTACATTGAGCAGTCGAGGAGATATCGTCGTCCGAAGTTCCTTTGGGGGCGCTTAGAAGGGGAAAACGGGCAAATGCGTGAGATGCGGCGCGGCGCTCTCACGACAAGCGAGCTGAAACCGGCTGTAACTTCCGCACTTAGCCACGTCTCCTCCCTCTGCACAGGCTTCCGTTTGTCTCTGCCTCTGCTTATCCGTCCCACACCCCGGTTGCAGAGCATCTTGGATGCACGATTGACTCAGGTTGGTTGCCCGGTTGTTTTTCAAAGCCCAGATAACTAGATCCACAGATACCTCTCAGATCGACCGGCTACCCCCTCGGCCCACTACACTGTCCTCTCAGACACACCACGCCCCCTGTGCATAACTTCTAACCGCCAAAACAGCCCCTTATGCACCTCGTGAACGCTCACGCTCGGCGACCGTCTGTAAGCACGGGCTAAGCGGCTATGTAAGAAGGGCAACACATGTGAGTCTTGCATGAGTATAACCTCCGCCGCTTGCCCGAGTGCTGGTGGTACGCCAAGTATAGCTACTCATCTGCTGACGACAAGTGTCTCAATGAGTATCCTGAGGGTGGAGTGTCCAGACTACAGCAGAGGCTTCCTCAAGCATGGTACGTCTTTTGCTTTCCAGCTTCATAGACATGCTGTAATCCTTTTCGTGACGAACACTCGTTTCTGTTATTCATGTGTGATCTCTTCTTATACAGGACCCAGTTGTCCGCGCAATGAAGAAGCTGAGACTGCGGCGGGAGGGGGAGGCAGGGCTGAGACACTAGTGGGGCAAGCGCGAAAGGTGAATATCCCATCCGCATACACCCGCTCCGTTCCCCTCTAACTTTCACCTCCTTGTTCCGAATCACGATGTACAGCGTCTGCTCGACGTCTGACTAGCTCTTGTGGACGGTCTGGATGCGGCGCAGCCTTCACTCCCGCCAGCCTTCTCGCCGAGGTCCTGTCCGCCACGGTGAACCTGCATGTCCTCAAATGCGCGGCATGGAACCTCACTTCCAGTCTCATCCGGCCATCTACGAGTCTGTCACGAAGCTCGATAGATTTAAGGTGCTCTCGCTGCGCTACATCGGCAACACCTGCCTCAAGGCCATCCCGGCTGGTCGCTCTCTCGTCTCTCTCTCTTCCGCCGCTTGTTTCGACACCCCAATAGCCTCTTTCAAGCATCCGGTCAATACTCACGTGTCCGCGCCTCTTCGCCTACCAACATGTTCACCTTCCGCCCCCAGCCGAACGAGTCGGAGGACAACGGTGGCCGGCCCTTCATTCGCACCTCGCCCTCCCTCTCCGAACTCTCTGTGCAAGCCATCCCTTGGCCTAGCAACCTTGTCGACCTGTCCCAGCTGCCCCAGGACACACTCGCGTCTCCCCCTCGCGGTGCTGCCAAGACCTTATTCATGGCCGACGCTGCCCACCCCGTTCCATTCCACAAGGCGTGGTCGTCCCCGGGCAAGGCGACCGATAGTCCTACAGGGCATCCAATCACGCCTTTGTACATCTCCAGCCCATCCTCCGCGTTCGAGACTCGCAAGAGTAGCCATGATGCAAATTGTCCGCGCCCGAGCTAGAGGCGTATCAGGAACCCTACCACGCTCAACGTAATGGTATGCGTGTTCTGCTCTATTGTATGCAGTCATGACATTCAAACCGGCCCTCTCATTGGGATGCTATCAGGTTGCTGGCGCGCAAGGTGTGGGCAAGACTTCGGTGGAGCGCTTTCTTTGTGGTCCGCCGAAGGGACGGAGACCATACAGTCTGCCTGCGTAGAGATCTGCGAGAGCAAGTACGACAGGCGCTGCTGTCCATCATCGACACGCCCGGTCTCGACTTCCGGGAGGGACACGAGCTCAAATTGGAACGCCAGGTTTCAACGATAGTGAAGTACCTGGACTTGCAGTTCGCAGACACGCTGACCAAGGTGCATGGCTATCTCGGCTCCTCAGTGCATCGCGTTGCCTCCCCTCCGTCGCGGTGCGACCGCGCCTTGATGTACCCTCCTGGGAACTGCCATTCCCTCCAGGAGTCAAAGGTCGTCCATCAGAGCAAAGGAGACAAGCACATTCATTTGTCAGTATCAGGTAACCCACTTCCGGCGAGTTTCTCCATGTCCCGCTCACACGTTGTCCAGGTGTATCTATATGATCAACCCTTCGTCCGTCCTGACCGAGGGTGCGCGTCGCGCCCAGTCCTCTTACCCCACCAAAGTGCACTCCGAGGTGACCGTCTCGTACAAGCCGCCCGACCTCTCGTTCATGTCGGACGACACCAACTCGGAGGACGAGGAGAACGAGAACGGACTGACGACGTCCACCGCCAACATCCGCGTCATGTGTCGCATTGCAGTGCACGCAAATGTGCTCCCCGTCATCGCGCGTGCAGATTCGCTCATGGATGCGAAGCTCGCTGCGGTCAAGAAGGTCGTCCGGCGCGACTTGGCCGCGGACCTTGACTTTGGTGTGTTCGGGCCCATCGTTGCCGACGATGCCGCGAAGAGCCCGGCCGACGAGCGTGCCAACGGGAATTGGAACGGGCATGGGCACACGCACGGCACCAGCCACGGTAGCCAGCGCAGCGCCGACGACGCGGCTCAAGCCCACAGCGATAGCAGCCGGCCTGCTGGCGGTACCCCCGAGCCGAGCCAGGAGAACGAGAAGTCTCAGAAGGAGGACACCAATGATGCGGACCAGCAGCAACAGCAGCAACAACAACAACAAGAGAACGACAACGGCGAATGGCCCATCATCAAGCTGCGGCCGATGTGGCTTGCACGGCGGCCCTCGCGGTCGTGGTCGCGCCTGTGGATATCGGAGACTATGCTCGCTGATGATCCGCACGCGCTCGAGCTGTCAACGACACGGAGAGCGTCGCGAGCGTGGACTTCTTGGCGCACATCGTCATGAAGACGGACCTGAGCGCGCAGCTGCCCTTCG